AATTAGGACTGCGTCAATATTCAGCTCGAATGCTGGGGCAAGCGCAATATTCTATGTTGGACCTCCTCTACCTACGTTTATTGATATTAAACTTAGAGTAGGAGGGAGGCGGAAAGGGGCCCGTCGGGCGCCCTTTGTGAGTGATTTTTCGGGACGACCGCCTCTGTGACCTCAGTTACGTTTGGCGTCTAATCCGTCATTAGTGTTGTAATTAAGGGAGTAACATGACTGCATTACAATAAACTGTTCACATTAGAATAATGTGCACATGCGCCATGGGATATGATTGACCTAGATCATCACTCATTGGTATGACATAGTATTTCCCAATAGATTCTAAATGGTATCTATTGGCGCTAGGATCTCTCACATCCTTCCTTTCTCGGTTAGACAAGGACAGATGTTAGAACATCCACTAGTGTGCTGAGCCCCCTTATTCATGTATATAGAAGAAGGTCCTGTCACGTAGATAAATTAAGCAATTCATACAATAGGAAATTCAAACAATCTCCATATTATTTACACACTTGAGAATACTAGGGAATATCCTCAAGTTCGTCCATTGATCCAAGTCCTAAGAGTATAACTCACGAACTTTACTTCTCTTAAAGCCATAGCTACCTCCTTCCATACCTTCATCCTAACGGTACGTCATTCCAGCTCAGCATAGCCTTTCAATAATTAGAACCTCGTAGCTGTTATTAGAGCTGTAGTTCGGCGTAGCTGTTTTGGCTATCTCAGTGGCGGCTTTGATATCGGCCTCTGCTCGTCGAACGGCAGTTTTCGCCCGGATCACTGCGGCATATTTGCATTGGCTAGCGTATCTGATCTTTTCGATGGTTTCCCTAGAAGCCATTCCGGACTTATTAGGGCGGGCCAGACAGTTTCGGCTGTCTGATCTGTGGGGACCCCCGCAATTGCGGCACTTGGTGTGTCCTTGGCATTCCGAAGTGGAGTGCATTTTTGAGATGCAGTTCCAGCACACTGATACGCGCGAGCAACCCTGGGTCCTGTGGTATAAGAGACATCGCTTGCATTGGCTCATGGTTTGGCATGGCTGATGGCGAACAGCGATTCCAGAGTCGTCCAATAGTCGGAAGCCTAGTCTAGGGACGGATGCTCGTTCTAAATGAGCTACCAATGTCTGGTATGGGGCTCCGACTCTCTCTTTTCCATGAGGGCGGACCCTTACTGGAACCTTTGAAGTGACCCTGGCGATTTCTTCGGTCACCATCTTGTTGGTGACAACTACTTTACCTAGGAGTGTGTGAATTGCGACGGGAATTGTCGCAATACAAAGGGCCACTAAATCTGAGGCCTTCTCCAGGATTGCGTCTATCTGGACGAAAGACTCAGCAGAGTCCAGAAGGAGCTGTCGTACCTCCAGATTTTTGGCTCGGAGTGGAAAGCCAGTCGGAACACGGTATACATTTTCAATATTCTGCGGGGGTAGCTCGAGCAATTTTGCTGTCGCATCTCGGACACCGGCCGGCGAGAGTGCGCGCCAAGCATGTTCTTTTCTGAGTCGAAGAAACAAACGATCATCTTTGGGGCCAGTTTTCTTAGCTTTCGCCGGAGGTCTCGTTGGTATCAGAGGTTTGTTGTGGACCCGCACATCTTTCACAGGTGCTGCTGGCGTGTGGAGGCCAGTTCGGGTAACTGTTGCCCAGGTAGGTTTGACCTGGGTCACCTTGATCTGGGTCGCTTTTTGTAGCAGCTCTGGCTGCTTTTCAATCGTTTGTTCCACGATCTTCCCGCCGTGATTCTGGCAGTTTCGTCGTGGGGGGAAGTTGGGAGGGACTGTTCCTGGACCCGACATCAGGAATTGAGCTATTGCAGCTCGGAGGTAGACTTTCATGGAGTCTATAAATTGAACGCTTGACCCTTTGGATAGAGGTGAGAGCGCATTCTCCACACCATTAATAGCAGCGGTGCATATTGTGATATTAGTTTGGGTCTGGGCCGCTCGCTGTTCTTCGGCTTCAAGTGTGGCTCGAAGCTCGGGAGGACAAGTCGCAGTGTTCTTGGAGTTGCCATTGCTGCAAGAAGTTTGATTGTTTCCACTTGTCCTCGGAATGGGGTTCTGAGGGGCTGTGGCTGACGTGGCTTCGTCGGCCTTTTTTAAGTCAACATTAGCTGTCCGCTTCATGGCCGGCACAGCAATCTTTCTCGTGACTGTAATAACGGGGGCCTCTGAGACCTGACCGTCTTCGGGTTCACTGACATTCCATTGTAAGCTCTCAAGTCCCTCCATGATATATCGGTCGATAACCGCATCACCCATTTCAACATCTGGGTTCGTGGAGTTAGAGTCTTCTCCAAAGGCTCTTATCCTTTCGGTCATTTCCGACTCCATTTTTTGCTCGTCAATCGAGCTCAATGGTATGTTCTTTTTTGCCAAGCGCTTTTTCAGCCTGGTATTTGCTCTATCAATTGTTCTTTGATGGCAAATAGGTCGCGATGATTTGGCAGGCCCCGGAGACATATTGGAGATCCGGGGTCTTGCTACTGTGAGAATTCGAATTAGTGTCATTGTATGCGAGTCGGAGGGGGACGGTAATGGTAAAGGGGTATCTTATTGATTCTCTCACAAATATTCAGGAATTCTAGCTTTGATATTGTGTCATAGCTAGATAGCTACATACGCAATTAAAATCTAATGCAAAAAAAAAAAAAGCAAACCCAACGAGCCACTTCACGTGACTTGTCCAGCCTTGTACCCAAGCGATGCGTTTTTGTTGGGATCCGTCCATTAAGGTGCTAGGTAAAGTAACAACTGTTGCACTCCTACTGGAGCTTCAGCACGGGTGGGGTCGGGCTGGATCAGGTTAACTACTGTAAAGTACAAGTGCCTCGTCCCACCTAAATGACCGAAACACCTCAGAATTCACCCATGCGCTGAATCATGTCAAGCCCAACCGTCCAGAGAACCCCCTATTGGCGCACAGAAGCGCAAATTCCTCCTCAGCCTTGGCCACCACGCGCCCGAGCCCTTGACACCTTCATCATCTGTAACTTTTCCCATCCAATCTGTTGGAAATTCTGACTCTCGAATTTAGGACTCAACCACTACCTGTATCATCTCAGGTTCTCGACAAGATCAACTCTCTCTACACATGTCCCGAGTGCGCTAATCGCGCCTGCTGTTGCATATACATTCGGACATTTACGTTTTTTATTTTATTTTTTTTAATTCATGGAAATTTACGTACTACAGTGTACCTTGGCTGGTCATTGCTAGGTTTGACAGGCACATGAGACTAGTGGGGATTTCTTCCTCAGATGCAAATATAAGTCCAATATACCCATAGTTGTAATATATCAAGTCTTCTTCATCATATATATCCATGTAATATCGTACAGAGTGTATTTTCCAACACATTCATTCCCAGCTTTGTCTCACCTCAGCACCTCCTCATCTCATCGAGGGGTCGTTTTCTTCACTAGAGGTCTCATCCAGTCGCCCACAAAGGCCTCCACAGTTTGTTTTTCCTTTAGTTCCTTCATGTAGCATCCATCTATCTTCCAGCCGATCTAGTCATCCCAGAAACTTTGAAGAATGTCCATACCTCCGGCCTTGCCCCGTCGCTGTCGTGCCCGAGCCTTTTTCGAACGCTCTTAATGGAGTGCCGGCGAAATGTCGTACGTATTATGGTGATTTGACTTTTGGAGGTATGGGATTGCTTTGGTAGGTGGTGAGATAATTTTGGGGGAAAAGAAAAGATAGGTCTTGAAGGTGTTGGTTGTTGTGATACGAACATCAGTCAGGTTACAGGCTGTCTGCGGTTCGTATCTGGGGTGTAGATGGTTGATTTCGTGGAGTTGTGCAGTCGTGAAATCTCTGCAGGTGGGATTTTCGACCACAAATGAGCCAACAATACTTCTCCCAATTGCCAACTCGACGTAAACTCTCAAATTCACCCTTTGTCGTGATTGAATCTCGGTTCTGGGGGAATATTTCATACCCAGGTTCGTAGAGGACACCACTGACAGGTGTTCAGCCTTTGTCCTCCCCAAAAGCGTTACGTGCCGTGCTTTGCACCAAATTTGGCTGAGCACAGGACTCTGGCCAACTCCAACGAGATGTTGAAAAGGTTAAAACAGAACAAAAATCGATCCACTCTACAGCCTCAATGACTGAAGGGTCGTTATTCTCTTGATAAAGATGATGTTAGCATTTTATCAAGCAATCTCATGAATATATCTTTGTCAGTGATAACGGAAAATATAATGAGTTAACGTGCAAGGTGATTAAGTAGTAAAATTGCAGAAATTTTAGAAGATCAAAGTCTATAACATTAACAGTGGTAAAATCAACAAAATCTAACCAAACTGGACAAACTAACTCTGATGTGTTCATGCTTCTACATACGGCAAAACTGTCTACAAACAAATTTCAAATTGGATCATATCAAACTGCAGATAAATTTAGGCTTACTGAATCTAGTGATGAGAAGCATTGGGTATGGGATGACACATCTTCTTATAATTGTCTCGAGCTTTACCATCTCACTCAGTGCATGACCCTCAACATCTATTGGAACACATTAAATAAATTAATTTTAACATTGAAACAGTAGCCAGAATTTTAATGGTAGATTCTAGAAGTCCTTCATATTCTTAGACTCAGAAGGGATTATAATATAAATTCAATTCTTATGTTACTATCTCACCCAAAATGGTGCTCAGGAGGATCAAAGCTCCAACTTCAGGTATTTTGACCTTCTACACCTGTTATTTTGGGAATCGAGGCAAAGATACTCTCACTTAGAAATAGTTTGAGTTGGATATATAGCATCAAGCCGGAAAGAAGTAGATGTCTCATCATTATCCTTTTATATTTTTCAATTGAACCAAGACCTTCTAGTTATGGATGCAGTACGGACTTTAATTCAATCCACTGGACGCTTAGTGTCTAAGACATCATCAATCCAAGTACCTAACCAAATTATTAGGCATATCTTCAAATGATAAGAGTGTGTGGGTTGGGGCACAATTACTTACACGAAATCACAAGGTTGAACAACATCGGGACCGTTTCCATCATTAGTGCGGCTGACAGCGCCCGCTACTCGATTTTCTAAGTTGAATACAACGAAAATATGTGGTTGTGGGCCCTCTAGAAATTTGTAGTCATCGGTTAGTATGAAAGAACTTGGAAAGCAACTAAATATCATGCATTCTATTATTACCTGCCATAGGATAATACCATAGATCTCCGGGAATGCCGAACGGAAGATTACTGTATTCACGAGGAAAATCATATTCTGGTTTATCGGGATGCATATATTGTCTAGCAAGCAGAACTTTTTGCAAGAGTTCAGCTTTTGTATATTCGGGACCATTTGGGCACTGCAAGCTGAATTCTCGGTTCATGTCAGGCACTGGTATCAGCGCTAGCTCTACTATCAGCCCTATTACTGGTGTTAAGATGCAGAAGAGCGTGGAAGCGCCGCTGATGGTGGAAAACTTCATTGTAGAATGTCCGTAGTTGTATATCTTCCGAATCTAAGGGCTTTGAAAAGCTGGAATTTGAAGATTGATAAAAATGCAGTACAGAATGGAAATAGCCTGTTGGTGATTTCAGGATGCATTTAATATACACTCTTTTTTGGCCAGAGTGTGGCTTGGCAAGCTCAATCAACCATGTTTGAACGATGGAAATTATGAGGCATTTGCAATGTTAATTTTACCCATCTTAATTACTTCTTATTCCATCTTTCTAGGAATTGAAATTGCAAAGTCCCACTCGCCCTCGATGGTGAATAACTGTCCGGAAAATAGGCTTTGTGGCTAATCATCGAGATGTAGGGGAATTGGATTGGTCTCCTTATTGACATTTACTTGCCTGACACATTTTAAGAGGGGATTCGGGAATTTAAAAGCAGGTTGCGCTCTAACCCCTCGACCTCCAATCCATCAGCAAGAATGATGAACTTTCAAATTACTGTATAGATCTACTCTCATTATGGGTGACAACTCTCTTGCTCAAATATCAGAAGTCATTCAAACAAATAATAGATAATATGGCGCACCTGAAATCTGTCCGAGACATTGTTCATACAATTCATCTTGGAAATGGAGTCACTGCGTGAATTGGATGTAATGGCTCTCCATTTTGTCTTGGTTCCCGACGCCATCTCGTGTGTGGTAAAGGGTTTGGAAACTTTGTTGGTAAAAACAGGAGTAATCACTTCTCTGCTACAATCGCAGACTTGATCGTTGGTGTAGATTGTATATGTGTGTATCTCTATCTAGTTTTACAAACTACTTGGGAGGGCAAGACTGAACACCTGTACGCGGTGTCCTCTACAAGCCTGGGAGTGAAATATTCTCCCAGAGCCAAGTTCAGTCAAATTTCGCAATATCAAAGAAGTTGGCCCACGAGGCAAAAATCCAAATTACTCATCCACGTCGTTATTTCGCTCCCGAGTTTGACTCCTACCTAAGTCTCGTCAAGTCTACAAGTACGACCTATTACATCTTCATTCCAATGACCACACCACTCTTCGACCTTCTCTGGCCTCAGCTGGTCACCAAATACACGCCCACGCCGATATTTATGCCCGACGGAGGAGGCAAAGCGTGGCGCACAAATCTGCGAGACAGTTCTTTGGGATGGACGTGAGAGGGATCAGGACAAGTTTATAAGATGATGCAAAGGAAAGATATAACCTTGAAGGGAGTGAAATTCCGAATTTTGGCAAGGATTTTTTCGATTTGGGCTTAGTGCGCGCCAAGACTTCGCTTGCGAGAGTGCAGCTGACACTATAAAAACAAGCCAACGATGGAAGGTGTCGTTGTCCGCCTCCTGGTGGTGTTCTCTGGTATGGTTTGAGTAGCCTGGGCACCTACTCCACTTGGGAAGGAGAAATCTCAGATTACATTTCGCGCGGAGAAAAGTTGATGGATGACGGAGGCATGTCTGGATAACTCAGGGTTTTTGAGATGTTCCCCTGAGTGGGTATTCACGGATGAGGGTTGACTTGGGGTGAAGAAAAAGCCGCCATAACTTGGCAGTGGTACTTGCAAATGAAATCCGAGGCATGAGTGCTCTTCTTGTAAATTGAGTCATCTATCATACACTTCTCTGATATTGTGTCATAGCTAGATAGCTGCATACGCAATTAAAATTTGATGCAAAAGAAAAAAAAACACTAATTGTCCCGGAATATGCTGACTAAGCACACACTTAAACCTAAGTGGCAATTATCCCAATTGCAAAAGCCAGTAACCCATCCCAATAAATATGATTACAAAGCCAACATTGCGACAGAATGAGTAATGGGTAGCCTGAAGTGCAAGCTTATTACATTTATACCTGAGTTTGGGCGACACTATAAACACAGCTATAGTTGGATGGCGCAGAAGTACATCATCTTGGCTGGCCTTGCAAGCAGAGCCTGGATAGCTCAGATACATATCCCCATCGAGACAGGAGATGGCTGCTTCGAATGTGGCAACACCAAACCACATTTCCCGCGGCGCTGATATATATGGAGGACAAAGGTATGCCTAGATAATCGAAGGTTTCGAATTTCCCTTTGGTGGGCACATACGGAGGAAGGTCGACTGTTTGTATACAATATACTACTTCATTGTGGTATTTGCAAATGAAATCCAGAGTAAGAGTGTCACTAATGTCAAAATTGTCATCCAATGTGTATAAAAAGTACCAGTCATATGTCATAGCCATATCGTTACATACACATTAAATGATAAACAAGATGCTGTATAGTGTGGGTCTACGCATCATTTTAGGGGTTTCCTGGGTCTAAAAAGCGCCACAATTGTTTATGCTGTGGCTTAGGCCAAGTGTCGATTTCACTTGTACTTGTAGCGCACAGCGAGGGGAATGAGACCAACAGGCTGGTCACAACTCCATCCAGTCGCCACAACCGGAGGGTTTTTCCGGGAGGATTTGGGCTCTGATCGAAGGAATTTGAGGTGGATTCTTTGACAGCACGCTTTCGCTTGGCTGCCTTTCTCGACGTAGTGTGGGCTTTAGGGCGAGTAAGATTTGTTCATATAGGACAGGGGCAGTGCTGGAGATGAGTGCAATGGGTGATTTGGCGCAATTTATTTCCACCACACGCTGTACTACTACACTTGGGCTTAGCACGACCTCATGCCCTAAGGAAGGCTTCTTAGTTTTTTGACGCTACCAAGCAACCAAATATGAAAATCACTTCTTCGACTACTTTTCTTCGGTCAGATTCTTACATGGAAAATGACGGACTACCAGTAGATGTTAGGCCTAGTAAGCCGATAGCGTAGCTGAATTCTATGCTACTCAGTACAGGCATATTGAAAGTATCAGCAATGTTGTGATCAGGCCCACTTATACATCACACAACTGAAAATGGCGATTATTAAGCAAGTGTTACTAAATGGACAATCAATCCTGCGTCAATTGTACGTCGTCCACACACAGCAATGACAACGCCAGTATCCCAGCTATAGATGATAATTTCACGCAGATATATCTAATAATATCATTTATAAATGACGGAACGGCTAGGATTTAGTACAGTTGGTGGTATATATTGTGCACCATCTATGTATTTAAAACTCGCTGATATACCTCAGTACATGATCAACCTTTCACTCTTACTTCAATAGTCATCAATATAGCAGATCTACAATCCATATTCTTCTTCTTCACGCTAGACGTAAAGCGCTATCCTATATCCACCCACGCTAACTGATATATTCATTGCGAAAATTCTTAAACTTTTCATAATCTCGTTATTACAATAAGCGCCAAGTCTCTCTCAAAAATGAGGGTTTGACAGTGTTCTACGGGGTACGCTTATTAGCCTAGTGATGATGTAGGTGGTAAGTGAAGATAATGAGTCAAAGGAATGACAGGTCTTCTACAAAAAGACGAATATGTTAAATGACAAGGTGTGTCTGGTTGGTGTAGGAACTTGCCGAGCCAGTCAAGGTCAAGCTTAGGAGTCGCGTCAATAACGCTACTCATGCAGATCAGTCGCGTGGAGGAAAATTGTACTTAGTAGTGATTGTCCGTCACTGTTATGTAAATAGCACATTATCGCTTCTCATTTTATCTGACCTCCTTCCACTGTGATAATTCTATTGTCTTCTCTACAGCTATACAGCTATAGAAGGCCTCCTAATTTAATAGAATAGGCAAATAGTTGCAGTAGATGTTACACATGGGTCTTGCTGATGAAGAACTGAGCAATGGATATATGGTCTTCCCGAAGAAGAGATGGGTGAACAAATGTATTGTAAAGGGTAAATAAAGAAGACGTTGCATGAGGAGTAAATCTCTCCCACGCCGAACTATTATATACAAGAGTAGAAGCCTTTGCCAACCGGAATTAATCGTAATCAATTCTTGCCAATATCTTCGCATCAATGGCTGTGTTCTTGTCCTTCTCTTCATGACTCTCTTGTATATCCTTACATGAAGTTTTACATGACTAATTGTATAGGGGAAGCTATTATTAAATTGAAGGTTTTAATTAACTACCCCTTCATCTTATCACGAATTTATATTAGTATTAAAATTCTATTTACGGATCCGTGAAATCTTCCCGAAGAAGAGTTGGGTAAACAAATTTATTGCGGTGGGTAAGTAAAGAAGACGTTTTTTTTAAATTCATTGAGTGTATGCAGCCTAACGAGCTATGACACTAAAGAAGACTGTAAAGGCTGATGAAATGACAGTAAGCCCTGAAGCCTATGTTGGCCAACAGTTTTACTTGGTATATGAAATGGGAATGTACACTTGCGCTGGAACAGCTAAGACAGTATATGGAGAGATGTCTTCATTAATGTGCAGAAGTGAAGTGACTATGATAATTGTTATATTACAGATGGGGGGAAGCTCGTCCCTTATCCCCTAGCTTGTTCGTTTGTAGACCAATCACGTTACCAGTATGCAGCTCACCAAAGTGTGCAACCAACTAAGCAGCCATGCCATTTGTCCTATATCAACAACCCATCTCTCGTAATGCACACATGACTACATGTAATGTCGTTATGTAGAGACTGGATCTCCTTCATGCGCCATAACGCCATGCTGCCATAATAACTACCTATGCACCAGCTACTAGATCTACCATCCTACATAGCTGAGCATAACACCAACGCAGGCATCCTTTCCGCCCGCTGGGACGTCAGGTAATTGTCACGGGACTAAGAGCTAGGGCCGTACACTAGGATATTAGTATAGATCCCTCCTGTAGATAATCTCAAATCCGCGCTCTACACAAAAAAACACACATTCACAAGAATAAAACATGGTCTTCCAAGAATATTGCTAGGACCCACCTATTGATCTCGACGTCCCCCAAAACTCCCTTTCAAATCAAAATCTCTTTAACAATGATGTTTCTGAAAAACAAACCCCCGCGTGACGGGCTAGGACTTTCGTCCAATGCGCGAAAGCAATGCCACAATTAAATGTTTATTTTTTCTATGAGGAATTTACGAGCGAGAAGCCA